CCTAATTTTCGGTTCAAACTCAGATTGGACCAGGGTTCTTTTAGTGGGCCTGTTGGGCTAATAAACTCTCAATTTGAATTATTTTGGGCTAAGAAACCTCATTTGGGCCCTAATTGGACCCGCATTCATTAAACTATAGCATTTTGGGCCATAAGACTTTTTATGGGCCTTAATGGGCCTAAAATATCTCACTTCGTTTTTATGGGCCTTATTGGTCCAAAACCCACATAAATAATTGTAGTGGGCCGAAAACCCATTGTTTTTACCCCTTTTGGGCCGTGAAATCATAAGAGGGCCCAATGGGCCGAAAAATTCTTATTAGGCTACATGTTTTCGATGGCTATCAAGTTCAAGCCCAATGTTTAATCTTTACTCCTACCCCTCTCCCATTCTCGGTTTTAAAACAAAAAAAAAAAAGAAAAAAAGAAAAATGAGAGGATAATTAGGGTGTTGCCACCTCACTAATGTTTAGTGGTAATCCAAGCACCAAATCCCATATTTCTAGAGCTTAAACCCTTCATGTACTAACCACTCCATTCTCTCTCTTTCTCTCTTCTTAACTCTCGGCCAAGGTGCATCCCACCACCCTCATCTTCTTTCATTACAACTACATCAAAGACTCTCTCTAGAACTCCAAGGATTCACCCATCCTTTCTCTTAAATTTCGTGTGTGCTTGTGTGAGATCAAGAACTCTTCATCAAAGATCACCACTCTTAGTAAGCTACTCTCTCGTCAAGGTATTTAACTTCATGTTCATGCTAAACTTACTTCTCTTAACACTCCATTTCATGATCAATGTTACTTAGAATCCCATAAGTTCAAGATCTACTCAAAGGAGTTTGCTAGGTCCGAAATCTCTCTCATCTCTTCATCAAAACCGATCCAAACCCCATAGTGAGTTCATACCCCTTTGGTTTTGGTTTTTACTACGTTTTAGGGGAGGATACAAGTTTCTTTGCGTTAGATCTATGTGTTTATGCATGATTATGTGTGCTTTCCATGTTATATGTTGTGTTTATATGTTAAAACTTCTTAAATTTCGAAAGATCTACAAAAATATGGTGATGTTTGTAAATCAAAACACTTTATGCAACTTATCATGAAGATGAAAGGATTAAACATGTTAAGGATGTTTGAAAAACTAATAAAATATTGAAAAGGGTCACTTTTGACAAAATAAACAAAAAATGAGGTTCTTATGTAAATCACGGTTTTAAGAGGACCAAAATGGGTTATTTTTAAATAAAAATGGATTTTTATGAAGTTCATAGTTTTAAAAGGGCAAAAAGTGCAAATGTTTACAAAATGGGCCTCAAATTGGGCCTTCATGTATTCATGGGCTAGATTTGTAAAATTTTGACTTTTGTGGATTTAATTGTCATTTTAAACAAATTTGAGCCAAAAATGTAAATTTCGGTTAAAAAGGGGCTGAAAATGTCAATCTTTTAAATTTGGGCCAAAAAGGTAAATTTCTCAACTTTTGGGCCATAAATGTTAAGTTTCATCAAAGTGGGCCGAAAATGTAATTTTAACAAAAAGTGGGCTAAAAATGTTATTTTATTTAAAGTAAGCCCTTTAATGTAAATTTTTGGTCTTAATGGACCTAAAGTGTCATTTTTACCAAAAATGGGCCTAAAATATAAATTTTCGGCTTAATGGGCCAAAAATGCCATCATTACAAAAAGTGGGTCTTTTATGTCGTTTTGGTATATAATTGAGCTAAAACAAACAATGTAATAACAAAAGGACTAAATACGTCATTTTCACTTTAATTGGGCCTGGAATATACATTACATGTTTATTCGGCCTTAGTGGTCCATTTACATGCTTATTGGGCCTGGAATATATATTACATGTTTATTGGGCCTTAGTGGTTTAATTACATGCTTATTGGGTCTGGAATATACAATACATGTTTATTGGGCCTTAGTGGTCCACTTTACATGCTTATTAGGCCTGGAATATACATTACATGTTTATTGGGCCTTTGTAGTCCATTTACATGCTTATTGGTCCTTGTAAACTTAAAACATACACGGAAACATTATTTAGTGCGTTACATAGTGTGATACAATATTCGCGTAAACATAGTTAAGGTTCTTGTGAGACATGTTCTTTCATTCGTACCTACCTAGTGTACAACCTTTAGTCATGTAGTTATAACCAGAGTCTCCTGGAGGGAGAGTGAAAGTTTGTGTATAGATCTATACGGGGTTGACAGCCCCGCACCTGAGCTGTTCGCTACAGCTAAACTAGGCCATTCTAGGGTGACAAATGTCTTACCTTAAATAAGTCGACGTCTGAAAAACGTCATGACAAGCAATTCCGTCATATCAAGCATGGTTATAACGACTCACATAGAAATTAACTTCACTGTAAAATTTACGGAACACATAAACAATTATACAATTGCAATACTATACAAACACCATTTTACGGTCTTTGGGTTTTAAGACCACAAAACTTCTACAGGCAGAAAATATCGGATTTTCTGGGAAAACTTACAATTATACATTACCTTCTACTTAAAACAGAAAACATGGGAATTATGGAATACACTCTTTATACATTTTCAAAACAGAAACACACATGCTTTAATACAAGATCTGATACAAAGCGTTCAAACCATTTATTTCTTTTTACAGAAAATATCGGATTTTCTGGTGTTTACAAAATGATACAAACTTTTCATACAAATATGCTTATGAACTCACCAATATTATATATGTTAACCATTTTTAAAATAACTTGTATTCTTAGGAAATCGTTAAGCTGGTTGGCCTTCAAGAACTCATGGATTTTGATGTATTTTTGCTATCATCGTACACTTATATTTTGGGAATGTAATATTGTAAACCAAAACACTGATGTAAACAATGATGGTTGTATTATTGTATGTGTGATGACGATGTTGTCGTGATTCAATTATATACACTGTGATGGTGTTACAAGATGAAGTCACCCTAACCCCCGGACGTTTCCGCCGTTTCTTCGGTTCGGGGGTGTGACAAAGTGTAAGACGACCACCGAATGATAGAGACTTTGCCTTCCATTTTGATATTTTGCCTTAAATATATAAACAATTGGAGTCCAACGATTAGCAAGTTTCATGTTGGCTCCCACCGGGAGGCCAAGATAGTTGAAAGGAAAAGAAGCATTATCGTATTTAAAATACTAACGAGTCTTTCAACCTCAAAATTATTAACACCAACATCGTAAACTTTTATTTTGTACAAATTCACCTTCAAACACAAAACAAGGAAAAGACAACAAAACAATTTTTTAAGGTTGACAAAATTCATTTACGAAAGTCATTCTCTAAAATTGGAATCAAAGGTGATGTTTGGTGTTGTAGGAATGATAAGGTGTTGGGCCTTAAGGCCTTTACTTTTAAGTTCTTGAAGCATTATTGAGAGATGATTAAGTTGGATGGTTTTATGTTTGTGATAATTTTTGAAAATTTGGTATCTTGGCTAGAGGGTGCAACTCCTCCTTCACTTCTTTAATTCTAAAATCTCAAGATCCGCTCTCTTGAAAAGATTATAGGTTGGTTTACCTTGTTGTACAAGATGATTTCAAAAGTTCTTGTTGATTGTCTTAAGAAAGTGTTGGAAAAGATTATTAGTCCCGAGCAAACAACTTATGTGGAAGGTATGGATGATGCATTTTTAGTTAATGATGTCTTCTCTTGGATTAAAATGTTCAAGTAGAAAACGTTCATTTTCAAGGTTGACTTTGACAAGATCTTTGATTCTTTGAGTTGGGATTTCTTGAACTTGGTTATAGAGCAAATGAAGTTCCAATGGAAGTGGAGAAGATGGATTAGGGGTGATCTTTCCTCTAGCAGAGCTTCCGTTTTGGTCAATGGTTCGCCTACTAAGGAATTTTACATTAAAGAGAAGTTAGGCAAGGTGACTTTTGTCCATCTTTTTCTTATCATTGCTATGGAAAGTCTTCATATTTTCTTGCAGACGGCATGTGATTTTCACTATTTTCGTTGTATATCCGTCCGGCATAATGCTATATATTTATAGCTATTAGTTTTCCAAAATTGCCATCAAATCATATCACCCAGTAAAAAAAATTGCCTTCAGAAATCAAAAGAAGAATGGGCACATTATGTTGGTTACATCTTTCACGGGGTTGTGTTGGAATGTCGGTGCTATATTGAATTTGCACATGCCATTATTAATGCACAAAACATATTTTTCTTTGTATATATATGTGAATAACCAAATACGTTTAGAGTAATATTAAATTACAAATCATCAAAATATTATTAATGCACAAAACATATTTTTCTTTCTATATAAATGCGAATAACCAAATACGTTTAGAGTAATATTAAATTACAAATCATCATAATATTATAAAATTATTGTTAGGGATAATAGTTTATTTATATAACAAAGTTCTATCTATATAACGAGATGTAACTTTTACTGTAATCATATGTAAAATGCTTTACTATTTTACGTAATAAAATAGATATTTTTATTTTTACCAAAACATGGTTTTAGTACTAAGATAATTAAAAACTAAGACAATAACATGAATTAATGGTCATTTTTCCAGAAAAGGAATTTCAATCGAATAATGGATGGGACTTTTGAGATTGTAAATCGTTAGGGATCGTATCAAATTCGAATACTTTCTTATCATCATATGCACTTTCCCAACTTAGTGGCTCCAAAAGGTGGAACCTAAGTTGTGTTCTTTTGTGTTACCTTCCAAGTGGGTTGTAACGACATCTACCTTTTTTTTCCTTATATATATTCATCTTGACAAACCAATAATGTATAATTGTATATGATTAAATCTGATTCTATTATAATTATGTCTATTTATTGAACATACATAATCATAAAAACACAAAGGACGCTACACTTACACTACAAGAAAAATCCTAAATAGCTACGAAAAGTTGTTACGGAATCAAAATCCGTAGCTATTATACTAAAAAATATGTTACATAATGGTTTATCGTAGCTATTTTGCTATGAAAATCGGTACAAAATTGCGTTCCATAGTTAAATCCTCATTAGCTACGGAAAGTGGCTATGAAATGAAAATTGTAGCTAATTATACTACGGAATATGCTATACAATGGTTGAATGTAGTTATTTTGCTATGGATTTTCATTTTCATAGCTAAATCCTTAATTGCTACGAAATCAAAATCCATAGTTATTTTACTACGAAATATTTTAAAAGATCATCGGTTGCAGCAAGTTCACTATGAAACTTATTACAAAATCCATATTCATGGCTACTTGGCTATAAAATTGATTACGTAATCAAAATCCATAGCTAGTTGGCTATGGAATTAAATTCCATAGTTATTTTCCTATGCAATTTGCTACACAATAAAATTTTATAGATAATCTGCTATGAAACTTGTTACAAAAAAATTTACCGTAGTTATTTATACAACTTGTTTTTGAATTTATAAAATAATTACGGAATCATAATCGATAACTACTTGGCTACGGAACATTCCGTAGTCAACTAGCTACGGAAACATTTTCCATAGTAAATATAAAAAATTATTTTACCAACAAAAGTTCAACTAGCTATGGAAATATTTTCCTTAGTAAATATAAAAATATTTTACCAACAAAAGTAAATTATTGTTTTCTATTGTATCACATACAAATTAATTACCCTGTGTTTCCCTCTTTAGAAAATAAATTGACCTAACTTAGTTTCCCTAAAAGTGATCGCTTATTCCCCCGTGTCTCCACTTTACGTCTCCACTTTACGCCATAATTGACCGGACTTTACTCTGAGTGCACCGACCCCAAATCACCGAACTCAATCCTCTTGTGCTCCGGTATCCTCCGCCGTGCAGGGAGATCCTCTCACTCATCTTGTCTGGTTTGCCTTGTGCCGCCTGCTCTTTCAATAGCTAGGTATGTTCCATCCTTTTTTCTCTATTCTATAATAGATAAAAATTTGATTGTAGTAGGCATGATTTGTGTTATCAACTCTAGATGTAGTTTCCATTTAGACCGTGAATTATGTGTACTTTGAATCACTAAACTCTACCGATTTGAACGAATCCGATTCTTGTAGGTGTACTCCAGTGTAGTTCACTGTCAGCTAATCGATAAGGCACATCCTGGAATGGAATCGATGCACAAGGTCAGTTTTGACGCCAAGACATAGTACGATATGATTCAGAACTATAAGGTTCTTCGGTTTGTATTCAACAAACTGGAAATTACAAAGGTTCTCCCACTTTATGCTTCCACCACTTGTGTTTATGATTCTCGAATTAAATACAATGATGAACACTTTGTTCTTGAAAGTTGTAGTGTATATTTTAATATTTTTAATTATGTGAAAGAATCTACTAGTTTTTTTATGTATATGGAATGTTGTTAGTAACTAATTTATGCTACAAAGCATTAAAGTGAGCAAGCTAGTAAAAGGAAGGATGCTAGATAATCTTGAATTCATGCCATGGATGTAGAGATACTGTAATTCTATTAGGGGGTAGCCATCCCAAGTAAGTTCTTACTGACTCCTAGTCCTACCATTAACTATATACGAGTCCTTTTTAAATTCGAGTAACACATGAATCAAAATCGGATAACTAGTTGATGTTGTTAATTACCTGCTTCCGTTTCCTGCTATAGTTACATCCCTACTGAAAGAAGAGAGTCTTGCAAAGGTGGGAAAAATGTAAGCTAGATGCCAAGAAATCATTGCCAACACAATGAAGCATTAATCCTCCGAAAGATGTGATCCACCTTTTGCACACTCAACAGCTCCACCTATCAAGACCTCTAAACCCTCTTCAGCTCCAAGTGTCTCCGTATATGATCAACACATACCATGTTCACACTCATATAAATATTAATCCAAATTATCCAACACTTGCAGGCTCACATAGTTACATTCTATCATTATTCATTATGAAGATCATAGAGTTAACGATAACAATGGATAGTCTTGAAAAAGAAAGTGATTTCTACTTTGCAAAGCTGAGGGATATCGAAATCCTGTGGCAATATTCTAATATCTCAAACTTACCTGTATTGTCTATTTTTCTCCCACCTCAATAAACTCAAGTTTGTTTTATCTCAACTCACTTATTTATTTATTTATTTTGCAGATTATCGATGCGATACAGAGGAACTTGCACGCTGCTGAAAAGGATGCATCAATACTTATCTATCTAGTTTTTACTATGTTGGATTGTATCTTAGTAAGTAAAACCGTAAAACTATCTTCTTTATTTTGTTGATTAGTTTTTTTTATTATATACAACGTATCTTAGTTGGTAAAACCATAAAACTATCTACTTTCTCCTTTTGTTGCCTAATGGATGTCCTTGTTGCTTTTATTGTAATCTACTAAAATTTTACTATAATGACTAGCAGCGAGAAAATCATCTACAGTTTGGGCTTTATCTTTTAACATCACTGGAGACAAAATGGTTACATGTAGGTATGGTGGTTCTCACTTCTTGTTAGATATGTAACAATGGGTAAAATTATAGGCTATATTTTTTCCTTAGTATGTGTGTCTTGATAAATGATATTTAAATTATTTGTGAAAATGGAAGGGCCAAAACTAGGACTTAATGAGAAAATGCTCATTTCCATTGATTTGATCTATTAAGTTGTTCTTTCTTACTAAGTCAAAAGGAAGCAAACACTCATATATAACTTAAGGGGTTAAGTCATGTTCTCATTGAGTCCATTAACTAAAAAAGAAACAACATTTTACATAATAGATGTTAACTAAAAAGAATTTGGGGAATGTATTTCTAAACAGTCTAAAATAGTTATTTGGGTCATGACATACCTCGTAAACCCTTGATTCTTATGAATTCATAGAACTCATGCTTTGAAGTCAATTTAAAGGTATAAAATTGTTGCAAGTGAATTTAGAAGATTCAATCTTTGTTGGTTTCTTGTAAAATCTGATTTTTTCAGGTATTTTCGATTGAGCCCTTAGCCTATTCAAAGTTTGCATATATGGTCCCTTGTGGTTAAAGGCTTAATTTCAACCTATACGTCGGGCGTACGTGAGGTACGTGCAACGTACTTGTGAGAAACCTGGATCACGGAAGCCATGCTAGTACGCTGGGCGTACCTGTGTTACGTGGGGCATACTAGCTCAGTTTTAAAACCCTAATTTTAAGGGTTTGCTTTCTATTTAATCCTCCTTATGCCTCCCTTGGACATTTCTTATCAGCTACCATTCCCTCATAAAACCCTAATCTCGAGTCTAAGCTCTGTGTGTGAGAGTTTGGAGCTTATTAGTGTTTTTGGTGCTCATTTGTTGAAGAAGAAGGCTAGTGAAGAAGAAGGTGTTGCTTGTAAGCTTGTAGATCCAGAGACTACTTCACCTTGTGCATCTTTTGAATGTATAAATCTTATACATTTATGTGTTTCCTTTTAGATCTCCATAGATAAGTTTTATGAGCTTCATGTCTCAAATATTGGACCTCTGTGAGTATGGAGCACTCCAAAGCATTATAGTTATCCTTTCATATGTTCTAGGTCTTGTGGATTCATAAAAATGGTTGTTGTAACGACGTAAATTTCCAAAACAATTTTTCATTTTAAAAACATACTTTCATTCATAAAATATCATAGTAATCCAATGTATCATATGTTATCACAATAAACAAATCCCAAGATCCTCAAATACATAAATCCTCTCAGTGTGTACGGATGATGCCGGTGCCTTCCCGCGATCCTCGCTAGTACCTGAAACACATAACACAACAACTGTAAGCATAAATGCTTAGTGAGTTCCCCAAAATACCACATGCAACACATACGCCACTCGAGGCTACAATACGACCCTCCGGTCGATGTGTCTCAGCGGGAACCTCCAGTCCTGTAGCTCGTTGGACCCTCTGGTCCGGTCATAGCTCGTTGGACCCTTCGGTCCGATCTATATCGTTGGACCCTTCGGTCCGGTATATATCGTTGGACCTTCCGGTCCGGTCTATACAACACATGGCATACATATAACCCAATGCACATAACTCATATATATACACATAGCATACATGACCCTCTGGTCTACACATAAATACCACTCTAGGTAATGTATAGTGAGAAGACTCACCTCAATGAAGTCGGATAAACTCTCGTGCTCAACGTCCCGACTTAGCCTCCTCCTATTATTCAGATAACATCCCCGATCAATATTCACTCATGATCTCATCTCTACAGATTGGGTAGAAGGCCATTCTACCCTTCCCTGAATTCTCCTGAATCAGTCTTGACCAGAACCCTAAAGTCAACGAAAGTCAACGGTCAACTTTGACCCGACTCGTCGAGTGCACAAGGGCGACTCGACGAGTCCATGCGGGTCCTCTGAATCCTTTCAGCCTCTCTTGGCTCGTCGAGTCATCCTTCCACTCGACGGGTTACACCTGTCACGAATCGCGGGGCAACCCCGACTCGACTCGTCGAGTCCACTTATGGACTCGGCGAGTTGCCTCCATGTTCATCCTCAAATGACCTCCTAAGGTCAGATCTGCTTCCCTAACTATCAGATCTACCCTTCAAATGTTCAAATGTCACGTAAAGGTGCAACCTTTACGTGCATGCAACCCACAACAAGTCATAAATGGAGAAATAACTCTAAAAATGGCAACATAGTCCCCAATCTTTCATTTGCTTGCATAAAGCTGAGGGATAGTGACTCTATGGACCTCTCATGGTCTAGATCTGATGCTATTAACACAAAGGGGACCTCATACTCACTAGATCTTACATAAAATGGAAGTAAAAACCCTAAAATCATGAAATCTATCATATCAACACGAAATAGAAGGGATTATACCTCCAGAGATGAACTCTCAAGATGATTAGCCCAGATCCAAGCTCCCTTCACGCTCTAGATGGTTGTTTCCTTCTTCCTTCTAGCAAAACTACACCAAAAGTGATGTATTAGCCTCTTCTTGCTCTCAACTCTCTTACTGCTCTCTCTAGGGTTTCTCTGGGGTGCATTGGCCGCAAATGGAGGCCATAAAGGCCTTTAAGTAGGGCACAGGCCCCGAGAATTAGGGTTTCACTTAACAGCGCGGACTCGCCGAGTCCACGCATCGACTCGTCGAGTCCTTCATTAAATCAGATAAGAAATGCGCGTTCCTACTCGGCGAGTCTGAGCGCCTACTCGCCGAGTCCCTCCTTAAAACTCAAGATAAATACTTAAAATAAGATACCTAGGAATCCGGATGTTACAATTCTCCCCCACTAGAATCAGACTTCGCCCTCGAAGTCTTGCTCCGCAAACAACTCTGGATGCTGCTCCCGCATCTCCAACTCCGGCTCCCAAGTCAGCTCGGACCCTCTCCGATGTTGCCACTGGACCTGAACCAGGGGCACGTCCTTGTTCCTCAGAACCTTGATCTTCCGATCCAAAATCGCGATCGGTTTCTCAACATAGTTCAACCTCGCATCTACCTGAATGTCCTCCAGCGGCACTACCGCTGACTCATCGGCTATACACTTCCTCAACTGAGACACGTGGAAGGTATCATGAATATGGCTCAACTCCGCATGTAGCTCCAAACGATACGCTACCCTGCGCACTCTCGCGGTCACTCTGAACGGACCGATGTACCGGGGCCCCAGCTTGCCCCTCTTCCTGAACCGAATCACTCCTTTCTAAGGAGACACCTTCAGGAGTACGAAATCTCTCACCTGAAACTCGAGCTCGGGTCGTCGCCTATCCGCACAACTCTTCTGATGACTCTGAGCCGTCAATAACCTCTGTCTAACCTGTTGTATCTGCTCTGTCGTCTGAAGCACTATCTCGGTGCTACCCATCACACGTTGCCCTACCTCTCCCCAGCAAATGGGAGTCCGGCACCTCCTCCCATACAACAACTCGAAGGGAGGCATACCAATACTCGAATGGTAGCTGTTGTTGTAGGAAAACTCAGCCAACGGCAAGTACGTGTCCCAACTTCCCCCGAAGTCCAACACACATGCTCGAAGCATGTCCTCGAGTGTCTGAATCGTCCGCTCACTCTGTCCGTCCGTCTGGGGGTGGTAGGCGGTACTGAAATGCAACCTCGTACCCAACTCCTCGTGGAACTTCTTCCAGAACCTGGAAGTGAAACGTACATCTCGATCTGACACAATCGAGATCGGCACCCCATGCCGCGATACCACCTCCCTCACATACAATTCTGCCAGCCTCTCAGCAAAAGAGCTCTCACTGATAGCAAGAAAATGCGCGCTCTTCGTCAGCCGGTCGACGATCACCCAAATTGAATCGACACCCCGCACGGTCCTCGACAATTTGGTGATGAAATCCATAAAAATATGTTCCCACTTCCACTGGGGAACCTCAAGTGGCTGCAATTTGCCATGCGGACGCTGGTGCTTGGCCTTAACCCTGCGACAGGTCAAACACCTCTCAACAAAGCATGCTACATCCCTCTTCATACAGGGCCACCAATAGTCCCTCTTCAGGTCCAAATACATCTTAGTGGCCCCGGGATGGATCGAGAACCTCGATCGGTGCGCCTCCTCCATCAAAGTGGTGCACGTCCCGCCTGCATACGGCACCCAAATCCGACCCTGAAAGGTCATCAGCCCACGACTATTAGTAACAAACTCAGGTACCTGCCCAATCACCCGCTCTCTCTTGCGGTTCTCCGGTCTCACGGCCTCTGCCTGGGCCTCCCGAATGGTGTCCAACACCGGAGTCATCACTGTCAATCGCATACAAGTGTCTCGAATTGGGGCACTCTCCGCCCTACGACTCAGCGCATCAGCTACAACATTAGCTTTGCCCAGGTGGTACATGATCTCACAATCGTAATCCTTTACCACATCCAACCATCTCCTCTGGCGCATATTCAGGTTGGGCTGATCCATCAGATACTTCAAACTCTTGGGGTCCGTGTATATGGTACACCGAACCCCATACAGGTAATGGCGCCAGATCTTGAGGGCGAACACCACTGCCCCCAACTCCAGATCGTGGGTGGGATACCTCGTCTCATGAGGCTTCAGCTCCCTCGATGCATACGCTATCACATGCCCTCTCTGCATAAGCACCGCACCCAACCCTGATATCGATGCGTCGCAGTACACCACAAAATCCTCCATTCCCTCTGGAAGGGATAACACCGGGGCTTCGCACAACCTCTGGCGAAGAGTCTCAAACGAGGCCTGCTGCTCAGGACCCCACAAAAAAGTAACGCCCTTTCGGGTCAACTTGGTGAGAGGCACGACAATCTTGGAGAAATCTTTAATAAATCTCTTATAATAGCCGGCCAACCCCAGAAAACTCCTGATCTCGGTGGGGGATCTCGGCACCTCCCAACTCATTACCGCCTCAATCTTGGCCGGATCGACCAATATCCCATTTTGATTAACGAGATGTCCCAGGAACTGGACCTCTCGTAACCAGAAATCACACTTGGAGAATTTGGCGTAAAGCCTCTCCGATCTCAGAACTCCGAGGATCTCCCTCAAATGCTCCTCATGCTGCTCTCTGGATCTCGAATACACCAATATGTCATCGATGAACACGATCACCGATCGATCCAACATCGGCCTACACACCCTGTTCATGAGATCCATGAACGCTGCCGGTGCATTGGTGAGCCCGAAAAGCATCACCACGAACTCGTAATGCCCGTAACGAGTCCTGAACGCCGTCTTCTGGACATCCTCATCACGCACTCTCATCTGATGATATCCAGACCTCAGATCAATCTTGGAGAACCAAGACGCTCCCTGCAACTGATCAAACAGATCATCAATCCTTGGCAGTGGGTAACGGTTCTTGACCGTTAACTTGTTCAACTCCCGGTAATCAATGCACATCCGGTGTGAACCATCCTTTTTCTTGACAAAAAGGATCGGCGCTCCCCACGGTGAGCTACTCGGTCTGATAAATCCCTTCCCCAACAACTCCTGAAGCTGTGAGGATAACTCCTGCATCTCTGGTGGCGCAAGGCGACAGGGCACCTTGGCGATAGGCGCCGCTCCCGGAACCAAATCGATGCGAAACTCCACCTGCCTCTCGGGAGGCACACCCGACAACTCCTTGGGGAAAACGTCCGGGAACTCACGCACTATCGGCACATCATCAACAGAACTAGGTCTTTCCGCTGCTACTCGTGTGTCCATCACATAGGCCACAAACCCACTACAGCCCTGCTGTAGACTCTGCCTCGCTCTAGCAGCCGAACAAAATGCTGACCCTGAACGGGTACCCTCGCCGTACACCGTAAGAACTCCCCCACTAGGGTCTCGTATGGTCACCAACTGTCGCTCGCAGTCGATAACCGCTCCAAACCTGCTCAACCAGTCCATGCCCACGATGACACAGACATCTCCCATCGCAATCGGGACCAACTCAATCGGAAACTCAACGCCGAAGATCTCGAGTACACATCCTCGGATCACATCAGTAGCATACACCGCTCGCTCGTCGGCTATAGAAACTCGTAGAGGTCGGCTCAACGCCTCTCGCTGAACACTGATGTGCTGACTAAATGCTAATGACACGAAAGATCGACTCGCACCCGAGTCGAATAACACCAACGCAGGTACAGAACTCACAAGAA